AGCTTTTAAAACCGATATTATACCAGCTGAAAACCCCACTTAGACTTTTTATTAGTGTTTATTGAAGGATTTTCTATAATAAAGCAAACCGGTGTTTACAAAAATATTGATCTTGCTACAAATCAGGGTGCAAAAGCTGGAGTCTTTATGTTCGATAGTTGAGGAAATATTTGATGAGTTGCGCCACAATTTTTGACCGCACTATATTGGAACATACAATAACATAACTCACTACGTGACCTGAACCTAACAACTACGAGTTTGTGTCTACATTGAGTCGGTACGGATCCTTTAAACCAACTTTTAAATTATACTAAAACAACTCACTCTGTGCTCTCAATCTGACAACTGACATTTTGTTTCTACATTTAAAGGCTGTGGTTCCTTTAGACTAATTAAACACAAAGGAAAAGAAACGACGAAACAAACAAACCCAAAAAACCAAAACCTTCCAGTGAACAAACTGACTTTGTGCCCAAATCTGACAACTGTCACTTCGTGTCTACTCTAAGATGCCTCAGCCTCTTTACATTAAAGGTAAGAAGGTCCAGAGGATGAACTGACACTGCATTAAACCCTTCTATAAAAAAGCTAAGAAGGTCCAATAGACGAACTGACTCTCAGAGCAGAACATGACCATACACATTCATTTGTGTCGACGCTGAGATGCTTCGATTCTTGGACACTAAAGTCAAGAGCATACAGTAAACCAACAAATGACTCTGAGTGTGGAACTTGAGACGGACATATTGTGTCTACACTAAACCCCTCAATACTAAAGATAAGAACATCCAGTAAACCAACTGACTCTGCGAGCGGAACTTGACGACGGTGATGTTGTGTCTACACTAAAGTTACAAAGCTACAGTATATCAAACAACTGAGTCTGTGTGCGGAGCCTGATCACAGACATTCTGGGTCTACTTTAAGATACCCCAGTCCCTCTACACTAAAGCTACAAAGCTACAGTATATCAAACAACTGACTCTGCGAGCGGAACTTGACAACTGCCACTTTGTGTCTACTCTAAGATGCCCCAATCCCTCTATGCTAAAGCCACAAAGGTACAGTAGACAAATCAACTGACTCTGAGTGCGGAACTTGACGACAGCGATGGTGGCGTGGATCTCTCCCGGGAACATCTGTGGCGAGCTGCTGATGCTGTAGTAGCGCTGTTGCAGCAGGGGCAGCTGGGTCAGCAGGAGGGAGGGAGACACTTTGAGGGAGGAGAACTGGTCCAGGACGTCGAGCATGTTGGGACTCTGCTCGTACTTCCAGTCTTCGTACGCCAGGGAGTCCTGGGGG